ATGATGATGATGATGATGATGATGATGATGATGATGATGATGATGATGATGATATCTTGATGGATGTCTTTATATATCATCCCTTCGTACGTCTCTTCACCTCTTCTACGTTCCGGCCAGCCCTGCATCGCCGGACTCGTGATGTCGACATCAGTCTCCGGGTGACTGGTCCGGGTGGCTGGCCAGGCTACTTGTCCGACTACACGGGCAACGGAGAGTTCATCAGTGACCGAGAAACCTGCGTGACAAGACAAAATAAGACCGGAGAGGGGGGAGGTGAGAGCTGTGAAGGGGGGGGGGGCGTGCTTGGGCGCCCGTCGGACGGGCTCGTTCTTTTCGGAGCCTATCGACGGAGCCGGAGCCAGGTGGTTTGGCAGGTCTCGCTATTGGACAGGGTCCAGGAAAGTGTGGGATTTGTGTGGATTGCTATGGGACATCCAGTGTGTCCTGGAGGGTTATAGACGTTTTTTGCCAGCAGAATCGAAGGTGGTACAGGCAAGGCGTCCAAAATGAATCATAGGAACATATAGGAACGCATGGGTATGACTCCGGGCTCTCAATGACCGGTTCATGCGTTTGCGCTCGTTTTGTCGTGCATTCATTCTTGCAATCTCCAGAAAGCCAGTATAGATGTGACGAAGAATTGTCAGTTCAGACGTAGAATTGCCCTTCAAGCAGAAGGCAGAGATATCAGTTGATGTTCTTTAGAGTTCAGGACAAAAAGTAAAAAATGACATATAGTCCAACTAGCCGATGGTACTGCTTGCTGATTGACAGATCTGATCAAGTTTCAAGTCATTAGCGTGATGCTACGTGGAAAAAAAAACAGAGAGGAACCAACTGGGGATCCTTCGAACGCCTATGGACTGCGGATTCTCATCCTTCTCATCAACCCATTTGACAGGAAACCAACAACTTCCTGAGGTTGCTGCTGATGCCACTTGCCCCTGTGGCAAGAACACGGCCAAGTGGCTGGTTTGCATCTGTGTCCGTTGCTGGATGTTCGCCGCCGGATTTCTTGCCGGATTAAGCTTGAAGCAAACTCAGCGTTTTCCAACATTGTGGCCACTGATGCAAGCAAAAACTGTCCATGACGAGGAGCTTGTTGGCTCGTGGGTGGGCCTATGATTAATATGAAGAGAGCATGAACATTATGAAATGGGGATCCTGGTGTTCTATAAAATGGAAGTCCATAGATGTCCATAGATCATTGAGGTAGTTTGATTTGTAGCTTTGGACGCCGCATGAGGTGCGCCAACACCGACTTGTGCTTGACGACAGCTGAAGCAGCCATTGTGTGCCCCTGCAAGGCCCCTGGGCTTGCAGGTTGGAGAGAAAGCTATGAGGTACCAGATAGTGGGCCTGTCAGTTGTGGCTTAGTCAGGCAGAAGAAGATCCACCCTGGATGGGAAATAGAGTCCAGCCAGCAGCCACACCAGGCATCCGAGACAGAATGCTTAGTAGTCGACTATGACAAGAATGGCCGCTCGACATGTTTGCGCGATGCTGCCTGGGTGTCGGGAAAAGTGTGGAATGTGTGAAGAGTGTTTTTTAGAGCTCTGGTGGGACTGGGATTTTGGAGAGTCTGAGAGATGTACAGAGTCTTCTGTATCCATCCGAGGAGCGTCACCACTTTGGTGTATAGGTTGGTGCTCCAACAATCTGTTGGAGATGTGTGCAAGCGCTATGGCGCTTGAACGCTGCCTCCAGCCACGAGTGGCCCAGGCTGTGGCAGTGGCCCAGACTACACACACTGGGTAAACCTGTGTCCAGGATGTGGTGCGTCCTGGTAGACTCGAACCGCTGGATTCAAGAGGCAAATTCCACACACAGATATATGTACGACACAGGTTTCCCCGAAGTATCCTTGCAGGTTTCCCCGAATTAGTTTAAGCATGAATACAAGGGAAACATCTACAGGAAACCATGGTATCACCCCTAAAACTATGAGTTTCCTGTGGATGTTCCCTTAAACCAATTCTGGGAATGTGTGCCAGAATCAGAGTGCTTGAGCTCCAGAAAACCTTTCCTCTGCTTTTGAGGCGAGGCCACTGGCTTTACAACTCAATGCGTCAAGGAGGGCCAGTCCTGTCCGTGTGGCAAGAACACCTTGAGCTGCCCTGACCCGAATGATGCCACTTGGTGGATAGGGCTGCATGGATTTGGATGGACTATGATGGATTGCAGTTTATTGCAGGTGCGCGAGTCGCTTCCAAGGGAGGATTTCAAAGGCCCAGCCTGAGCGAAGATCAGACTGGTGAACAATTTAGGGATGCTAAGAAGTCCTGTTGAAATCTCAAAGATAAGAACAAGTACCAGAACTTGCAGAAATATCTAGTTATACATTGCTTTTGGTCAAGGCGATCTTCCAAGATCACCAAGATCCAAGCCCCGCTCTCCAACCAACTCTCGGCCGCTGCAGCTGTTTCGGAGCGCCCTTCACCTCCGAGGCGTTGGCCAAGCTGTGCGCGCCCTCCTTCAACACGAAGAAATGCCCCGAGCCCTGCACCGCCGATGCCATCGCCGCAGGAGAATCCATGCCACGAACCGCAGCGGGTTTCGCGGGGAGGTGTGATGAGCTCTAAACTGATGTGGGGATGCCTTTTTAATGTGAGCCCTGCTTGAACAAAAGTTGGAAGTTGAACGTTTTTTTTAATGACATTGAACCATTTTTATCATTGAACGTGTATCAAGACTTCCTAGGTCAAAGAGTTGTTTGTGTGTGTGTGTGTGTGTGTCCCCAAGGAAAGGCACCGAGGACCAAGTAGTTTCTTTTTCAAGCATGGGGGAAGTCTCCGGACTGAAGTTGGTAAGTGCACCACTAAATACAGAAACAAATGGTATATACGGTATTACAATGGTATAGTTACTGGCAATACACTTGCTCCCTTGCGTTTTTAGGATGTGCTTTTGACATTCATGCTTTCCTTTTGGCCTGACAGGTCTGGAGAAATGCCACCTGACATACCCAAGCAGGATCTAGCAGTGCTAGCAGGATCTAGCAGGCCTTGACCGCTTTGGCCTCGCAGGGAACATCACGTGCGTGCAGACCAACATGAACTCCCAGGGGAAGTTCAAGTCGGAAACGGCGACTGGGAGTATGAAAACCCTGGAGTATCGATGGGTGGAAGTGGGTCAGCGGCAGGGGTCAGCGGCACGAAGTGAAGGTCAGAGTGAAGATGGGTATACTTCGGTACTTGCTTTTAGTAAAATGGAACATGAATTATATCAGCTTGGGAATTGTAGCATCAGCTTGGGAAGGCTTCGCATGTTTTAGTATGGAACACTAGTTTTCAACTACAGTAGTTCCAGAGTAGATGGCACAATCCCCTACGTTTGGTGGTTTACAGAGACCACCATCAAAAAGACATGTAAGGGTGCCAGTGCCATCGAACCTCTGAAACGTACAAACGCAGGTCCGCTGCCTGTGACGCAGGGGACCTGGGGCGCCGTCAGGAAAATCAAATCACAGATGTCCCCAAGTACTTTGGAAGATCCAATTGCTGGCAAATCAAACTTCCTGGAGCCCCCCCCCGTTCCTCTCATCTCAAGCACTCAAGAAGGCTAAAGAGTCTAAAGCATTTCCACCACTTTCCACGTCCTGAAACATCACGCTTGTTTAGAGCTTCCACTGCAGCATCCGTGTGCATTTTTCATGACTCGTCGGCTCAGGTCACTTGCATTGGGGCCAACTCCACTTGCCCAGCCGGAGAGGGCATGAAGAATTGCTTGTCGGGGGCGACCATTTCGGTGAAGACGGCTTGCATGAACCTGTGCCTTGGTTTTCCACGCAGTTGGAATTTCCCGCTGAAGCAAACAGGGCGGAGTTCAGTTCGGCCACAGGGTCGAGTCCTGTGTTCAGGGTCGAGTTTTCAGATGTGTTCATGTTTTTACAGTAATGGGGTTGTAGATTGAATAATGCATGTTTGTCCACATGTGTTTTCCTTCATCATCTCTAGTAGCTATTTATAGTTAGATATGTCTATGTTAATTTCATGTGTTTTTTTTCTATTTGTTGCACATCAGTTGTTTTTTTATCGCATCGGTTGTCTTATTGTTTGGTTATATGAAAACACAGGTTGATTGTTGTTAAACATATTTTTTTGAGAGTGTTTTACTCATGTTGTTTGTTTTGTGGTCTTGTTACACTTCAACATCACCACAACTTCGCAGTACGAAACAGAAGCGGGCCATCAGGTACGCCACGGGCACAAACACTCGACGTTTGACGTCCAGCAGCACCGCAACCCGGGAGACTTGCAATGCCATTGTCACCATGACCAGCTTGGGCCACTTGGGCGACGCGCCTCTCCAGGTTTTTTTTTTTGGGGAGACAACCTTCTGGGGAGAATGGAAGTGGATAGCGATAGTGTATTGGTTGGGTTTGGATAGATGGGTAGACTATACCAATTAGGGGCAACTGCGTGGCATGAGTAAACTAGGATCATCACATGATTTCTCTTGATTGGGTGGACTCGAATTCCGACAGGGCAGCCATGACTCCCAGACATGAGAACGGTATGGTATGGGCCCGGTATGGGTAGACTATTGCAAGTACCTCACCTCGTCCCTCAAACGCCCAAAGAGTTGGATCAAAAGCAGCATCCCTGTGCTCGTTGGCGTATCCAATAGGGCTGAAGGACAAGGTCGGCTGCCAAATGGAGCTTGCTTGAAAAAATCATCCATTTACCCAAATGTCCCAGCTTCCTCTGAGAAATGCTTGGAGAGAAAATTTGCTTGCCAAGACGTATTTGGACCCAGTCTAACTTCCCTCAATTTCCACATTGTTTTCTTTGGTCGTGAACGTTTCTAGAGAGAACACTCACAGTAGTAACACCCTTGTTTGATCTATTTTGGGGGCCAATCCTGATGCATCTTGCGACAAGTTGACGAAATCCTGTTTGCCTTTTGGGGCCATAGAACTCCGACAGCTCTTTTGCTTCTCAGGAGCTGATGCCACGAAGAATGCAGAGACGGCCAGGGTGAGGGTCAACAGTGTACCCCCTCGGTTGAACGACCGCCCACGTCGCTGCATCGGAAGCGAGTTCTAAGAGACCTAGCGCAGTCAAGCAGTCAAGAAGAGTGGAGGCTCTTCAGGAGCCACTAGAACAAGATCTCTTCATATTCAGGATGAAGTGAAGTGCCGTATATGGCATTTGCGGGGAGTTTTAGGCCCCGCAATGAAATCAAGCAGAGTGAGTCTCCTATAGTATACACTCCCTGGAACTAACATGGAGGTGGATGTCATTCTCCTTGGAAGACCATGAAATTCAAATACCAAACAGGTGCCATCCACGTAACCATGATGATTCCAGGTATCTTCCGCCTCACTGGAAGTGGAAACAGACCCCTGGGAAGACGATTTTCCTCTACGGAGAGGGTGGGGAAACCACTTCCATGTTAGTGAATGGAAGTGTGTGTGTGTGTGTTGGTCCAAGTTGTGGATTAACCCATGAGCACTTTTGGACTTTCATGAACACTTTGCTCCTCACGAAAGGCTCTGGTCGCCAACCCAGTGAGCGATTTGTATAGACTAATAATCGTCAAAAGAACCGTATCCAATCCCTGTCTTCCAAGACGAACCTGATTTCATGATAGAGGAGTCCCATGCTGCGTGATGGTTTCAGATTGTTAAACTATTCACCCTTTGGGATGATTGGGATGATTGTTCCCCCATGCTGAAAGACGACCGACCACCGGTTCTGCATGTTCGGTTGAACCGGGACCCGCTCCGCAGCTCGGACCGGCGGGCCTCGGACCGTCGGAAGGGAGACTTCCAACGCTTCAGCTCATGTGTTGGAGAAGCCATCCGCGGTTGTTTCGTTTGAAGAAACACATGCAAAGACACTCCAGCAACATCCCCTTGTTTGGATTTGTTTTGTGGTCCCGGATGTGGAGGGGTCAATATAATTTGGTCTTATTTGGTCATAGTTTGGCAGGGTTTCAGGATCAGAGGGTCGCCTTTTGGTCAGGTACTCCAGATTCCAAGTGGTCTCAAGACCACTTTGGCTGTGAAGGCTGCAACTCGCTTCTTGGTTGATATCGAGCGGGGTATGCCAGCTTGGCTGGCCTGGCAGTATTGATAGAGTTCATGATGTGGGAAACTCAACCCAGTGGGGGGGGTAGTGTGTGCGTGTGTGAGACAGGTTCAGGTGGTTGCCTCAGGCACACGTCGTGAGAGGTCTTGGAAGGACAGCCGTTTTAGGTCGTCTCTTTGGGGCGGCTTATGCTGTACGAGAAGATGCGGACTGCAAAAGGCCGCGAGGTACAGGTCGTTAGGCGCCACCCTGGCATGAGGCGTCCTTCGCACATGCGTGTGGTATTTGAATAGAGGGAGACCCATCGACAGGGTAGACTGGTCTATTTCTCTTCTTCCGGTGTCTTTGAGTCGAGAGGTCTCCCTATTTTGATACCCACATATTTGCAGCAAGTTGTGTCACATCAATCCGAGACAGACAAGCTTGGCCCCAGATCCACTGAGGTCGTCTGAAAGAGAAGGAGCGTGCGCTGAACTCTGGAGGGACCATCATCTACGGCATCGACAACCAAGGAGAGAGATGGGAGCGTCATGAGAGCAGCATAGAGCAGGAAAGGAAATCATTTGTGAAAAGAAAGAATGGCAGGTCAAAATAGAGTTTTGATAGAACACACATAAACGCTTGCGCTTTTGGTTTCAATCATCCCTGCCATCGACAACCACTTTGAGATATAGATAGACAATAGAGATGCTTTAAAACCACATCTTGGCGATGTTGGGCGGGATTGGCCACCCCATGCCATTCCTTCATTGGTGTAATTTTGAAGAGGAAGGGGATTTGATACAGATTTCCAAGCCTTCTGGCTTGAGGAGAATCTTGTTTCAAAGCTCAGCCTTCCAGGTCGCGATCTCAAAACATCTCAGAACCCCAAGGATTTGAGGCCCCTGACATCCCCAGACCCTTCCAGGCTTCCACCATTCGATCCTTTTGTCCTTGTGTCATCGCATTCCATCGATTCGAAGAGAACAAAAATACATCCTTTTGATTTGGACATCGCGCCAGGATTCGCGACTTCAGTGAGTCCTTCACAGGTTTGCGAACAGTTGAAGAAGATGGTGAAGAGTAGCAACCCTTCCTTGACCGAGGCGAGTGAAACCAAAAAGCAAACGACCGATGGAGCGGTGGATGTGGGGGATCACAGGTCGACCTCATTTTACTGGAAATGGTCAAAGAAACACAATACTCAAGGAGGTAAAAGACCAGGATTTTACTGGGTCTTTGGACGTGTAGGGTACATTATTCTGAGTGTATATGATTGTAGGTATAATATGTATATATTGTAGATGCAGGTTTTTGTTTGGCTTCTGAATAGATCATGAATGTTGCGATTGACCTGCCGGGAAGGTCCTTCTTCAATTCGGGATCGTCCAAAAAGTATCCAATATGTTGTTAACTTGCTAAATTTGATGTCATAAAATCATGTGTTTTTGGTGGGAAGACCTGGGATTCCTTGTTATACAATGGAGTGGGGGCACAAAACACTTAGTATTCAGACACGTGTGACGATTGAAATGCAGCCTGGGTCGGTTGAAGTGGTCAAAATTGGT